GTGTATGTGTATAAAACCTGAAAATCTGAGAGTGTAAGCGCAAGGCAATCGAAAGGTTAACAGTTATATGGCTGGAGATCTCGGATGCCAACTAGCAAAGGGTTCCAAGTACCAAGTTTAAACAAATGTGGCCCTGCTTATAAAAAAAGCTACAGAGTTACATGAACGAGAAATGTCATGAATCTAACGAAATCTAACGAAGATGATGTTCAATGAAGAAATCTAACGAACAAAACAAAAATAATCTGGCGTGGAAAAAGATTTTGTCGGCTGCATTTATGGCAAGAAACATTCCTCGGCTAGGAAGGAGATAACCAGTAATAAAGTAGCTGTTTCAAATAAAAGTAATACGGAGCTTGCAAAGTAAAAATAATGCCGTAGCTGTTGGAAATTACAATCGTTACATAATGAAACGTTACAGTAAAATTGGATGAACAAAAAAAAACTAGCAGCGCTTAAGATGGTAGGAAAATGATGAGAAAAGACATTTCGGACCACTAAATCATGGATATCTTAGCTCAGCACTGCAAATGGAACTCGTCATCAGAATAGCTGTGGTGTAAATTAAAATGTGCAAAAAAGATGGAATATGAAAAAATAAAAATAAAGCTAAATAATTATTTGAAAATGAACTAACAGAACAAGTGAACGTAGCTGGTGATCCTTTGCAAGCAGTTGCGAGAACACTCCCAGCACGTTGCCAATTATTGTGAATGACGGGCTGTTAAGTAATTCGACCAGACGATGGATCAACAGGCGAAGAGCACTGGACGATAAGTAACGATCCGAACCAACTACAGCCAAATACATTGACGCATACTTCAGCACGCCCGAAGCCGGCTCAACTAGCACCTAGAAATACCATTAGGCAACAGTCTGACTGATAAAACGGTGAAAAAATTTAGCCAAAAAGGCATTAATCATATCCAACTGCTACTGCAAAAGCAAACCTAGCAAAAGTTGGCTGATAAAAGTGGAAGGCAGCAAATGTGAGAACAGGGGGCGA